TTAGATGCATCCGTCTCCACCACAAACGGACGATGTGAATCAGGATGCCTCAGGATAGGTTCTGCGACAAAGGCCTTCTTGAGAGCCTCAAAGGCCTGTTGCTGCGGGGCCCCCCACTGGAACGGGACCTTCTTTCTAAGGAGCTGAATGATGGGATCCGTCAGCTTGGCAAAACCCGGGATGAAGGTCTGATAATAATTAGCGAACCCCAAGAGACATTGAATGTCTTTCACTCGACGAGAGAGTTCCCAACTACACAAAGCCTCCACTTTACGCGGGTCCATGGCAATGCCTTCGGGAGAGATGATGTGCCCCAAGAACTCTATGGAAGTCTGGAAGAAGAGGCATTTCTCCAGCTTCTCATAGAGTTGATGCTCCCGAAGACATTGCAATACCTGACGAACTTGTTGAATATGGTTTTCCCTCAACCTGGAATAAATCAAAATGTCGTCCAGGTACACCACCACGAACCGATCGAGCATGTCCCAGAACATGTTGTTCATCAGGTGCTGGAAGACCACGGGGGCGTTGGTCAACCCAAACGGCATCACGGTGTATTCAAAATGGCCGTATCAGGTGCCAAACGCCGTCTTTCATTCATCCCCCTCTCGCATCCGCACCAGGTTGTAGGCCCCTCGAAGATCGAGCTTGGTAAAGATAGTAGCCTCACGTAACCGCTCCATCAACTCTGGAATGAGTGGCAAGGGATAACTATTCCGCACCGTAATGGCGTTCAACTGGCGGTAATCGCAGCACAAGCGCAAGTCTCCTGTCTTCTTTTTAACGAAAAGAACGGGAGCAGAAAGAGGGGACGACAATGGTCGGATAAACCCCCGGGGCCAAATTCTTTTCCAAGAAATCACGAAGGGCGGCCAATTCAGGCTCAGACATAGAATACAGGCATCCCTTGGGTAGTGGGGCATCAGGCAGAAGGTCCACGGGACAGTCATAGGGTCGATGCGGGGGTAACCGATCCGCCTCCTTCTCACCTAAATATATCGGAGAAATCGGAGAGTTCAGGAGGTACGGAGATGGCGGGGGCGGCAATGTCTTGGCCAGCACAGGTGTGTCGCAAATGGTCCATGCACTGGAGACTTGGGAACGAAATGGCGTTCTACGCCCATGCCACCCGAGGATCGTGTAACCGTAACCAGGCCATTCCGAGGACCAAGGGGAGATGGAGGTCCACAGTGATGTAAAAACTAATCGCCTCCTCATGGTCCCCAATAACCAGGCACAACGGCTGGGTAGCGAAACGAATGGGTCCCCCACGAAGTTCCCGCCCATCAATCGTTTCCACCTTGATTGGAGGCTCCACCGCAACCAAGGGAACGTCAAAATGAGTTGCAAAGGCCTGGTCCATGAAACTGGTCGTAGCCCCCAAGTCCACCAACGCAACTGCAGGAATCCCCTCCTACCGGGACGGCAAGAAAACCCGAGTGTCTAGAAGTAAATGTCGAGGGGGTCCAGAGTCCACTTCCACTACTTCAGCTGGGTGGTTGATATATGCCCAACCTAGGGTTTCCCCGAGGCCGGACCGACCTTGTTTCCCCAACTGATCAAGTTTCGATTCGGGCACTGGCTTGCGTGCCCCCCACAGAACAGGAATTCACAAAATGTCCAGGCCCCCCCCAATACAGGCATAAGCCTCCCTGGAGTCTCCGTGTGCGTTCTTGGACCGTCAAATGAGGTCAGATCGCACCCAACTCCATCGGCTCCTCAGCCCTGGCCATGGCACTGTGGGAGACCTGGGGCGCTGGTTGTACAGGATGCTGTGGCGTTGAGGTGGATGGCTGCTCCGGAATGGGACGTCGAGTCTTACGCCATTGAAGTCGGGCGTCAATGCATTGCACCACCAGAGCGTCGAGGGTCGGGGCCGGCTCCACGTGAACCAACTCGTCCTGTATGTCCTCCGACAGACCATCTTGGAAAGCGTCCATTAAAGCCGCATCATTCCACGCAGAGTCCAAATAGAGCAGTTGAAACTCTGAAATGAACTCCTGCAAGGGGTGTTTCCCCTGGTGAAGTTCCTTCAGGCGTCTGGCTGCTGTCTGAGCCCGTATGGGGTCCTCATACATAAGTCTCAGGTGACGCCAAAACCCCTGATAGTCCGTTAGCAATGGACTGTCCTGCACCAACAAAGGAGTGGCCCACCTGGCAGCCGAGCCCAACAGAAGACTGATTACAAACCCCACCCGAGCCCGGTCATCAGGAAAATCCTCCGGCCTCAGAGCCATAAACAATTCGCACTGTCCCATGAAAGCCGGGAACATTTCAGGCTGCCCAGAGAACTGATCCGGCACAGCTACCGGGCATTTCCTATGGGGAGGGGCAGGAGGAGCAGCACGAGCCTGCAGCAGAGTGATTTGATTAATCAGCTGAGTAACTTGCTGCTGCAGAACTTGGTTATCATTTTGCAGCTGATTAAGCTGCTGCTGCTGCTGCTGTTAATCCATCTTGGTCAAAAGATGGTTTTTGTTTGGGTTCGGGACAAAAATGTTATGTCTCACCTGTGCCAACAAAGTGAGAAGTCCAAGTTTCCAAAGGAATATACACAAGCAGACAAGACCAGTAATGACAGGGTTAAATTCCTTTGGCCAGGCAAGTCCTTGGCAGTCTCACAAAAGCTGTCTGCCAAGTCCGATAATAAAGCAAAAACATAAATCACAGGCTATCGCCACACACACAGAATCCGTTGGAGCTGCTCTCACAAATTAACACGTTGTCCCGAACAAGAATCCAGAACTAACACACCCCCTTTTATTCTCTGTGGGGCGTGTCAGTCCCTCATCTCAGTCTCTAATTCGTCCTTTCCTTTTACGTTGCAACTTACACTTTTGCCTGCGCTGTTGCCTCGCATCAAGCCAGCATTCCTCGGCTTGATCCTCAGTCAGAGGCTCTGATACATTCTCCTGATTATCTGCCAATACCTGAGGCACAATCGGGGGGAACATCCTGCCGAGGAAGGAAGTCCTGGGGAGGAAGGCAATTCCAAATCCTCTAACAAAGCAGGCTCAAACCTCAGAGCCAAATCCTCCCCTTCCTCACCGTCCAAGTCTGTGTCCTCTAGCAAAGCAGGCTCAAACCTCAGAGCCAAATCCTCCTCTTCCTCACTGACCAAGTCCTCGACCTCTGACAAAGCAGGCTCAAACCTCCGAGCCACAACATATATGTATATGTATATGTATATGTATATGTATATGTATATGTATATGTATATGTATATGTATATGTATATGTATATGTATATGT